ATGTATCTAACATGACACATGCCAAATCACTCAACCAATGTATCTAACATGACACATACCAAATCACTCAGCCAATGTATCTAACATGACACATGCCAAATCACTCAGCCAATGTATCTAACATGACACATGCAAATGTATGTAATGTGACATATAAATAAAAATTCACCAAATTTTAAAATGTCAGACGTATGTGAATTTATCAGTCTACCTTTTTTCAGAATATATCGATTAGCTCCATATGGCGTTCTTCGGATGTCGTCTTTTTTGAAATGTAGCTCACAAAGCATAGTACTGGGTGTCATGTTGAAACCATCTCGTCCATCTTCTCGATTTATACTCTTACACCATTGCATCTTTCTGATCTCATCCTGAGGAAACCGAAAAAAATGTAATCCGGTTGGTTTTCCTTCTATATCATTCTGCACACTGGAGCAACCAATGACACAGCATTCTCGTCCCTGTCGCTTCTTTGTCTACAAAACAAAATATGAATGTTAGCAAACTATTTCATATAATGAGGCAGCCTTTTTTTAAAATATTTTTGTGCCAAGCAATGTTCCAGACAATGGATGTATTTCTTGTATTATGATTAAATGTAAATTTCTAATGGTACTAGTACATACATGTAGTGCATTTTGCCACAAGAAAAATTTTTTTTTGTCAAACAGTTTGTAAAGATATGGAAAAAAATTATATGATTTATTATAAATATTTTGTGAAACAGAGTTTGAAGGCATTTGAGAAAAATTCAAGTTTTGCACCTGTTACTGGCATATATAACTCACAGCAAAAAAATATTATTTCATGAGTAACTTAGAAACAATTTAGTAATCATATTCATTCTGATTTATGAAGCCGCAGAATTCATGATGGCGGTGTGGATATTCAAAGTGAGAAGACTGTAAGTAAATCCAGTTATAAACATATGACAAAGGATTGGATAGTTTATTTACAATCACTTCTATGAAACATTGATTGACAGGAGTTTATTCACTAAGGACTTTCTCTGTCTTTCAAGGAAATCTTGACCAATGTTCAAGTAATCATAAAAAATTTGTCATACGATCAACAATATGACTTTCATAGTTATAAATTGCCGAAAAAATAAAAGGTTTTAAAAACATGCAGGTTTTCTGTATCTATTGTCGGATGTAGACTGTATGTACATTATAGTCGCATACGCTCTAGGTCCATTAAATTGTTTGGCTGGTTCCCGCCTCGTCATGACATACCAAGCCACAAAAGGCCAGTAACTAGTAATGATTACAGCATTCTGATTGGTCCATCATGTTCTTGTTACATTTCCCTTGGTTACTTGACGTCAGCGCTTACCCTCATGGTCGTTACATATATAAAGCAGGGCTTTCCCACGCTCTCAAAATTTGCAAGATTGTAAAACCATTTTTTTTATCACTTTGCACAAAAATAGTGAGAAATGTTAGAACCACCTCAAGTATAAAGTCTGAACAGGCAGAGCGAATGGATGAGACATTATTGTAGTTTTACAGACACATTTACGCAAAACGAAACTTGGAATGTTTTCAAATTACGTCACTTAGTCACGTGCCTTAAGGCCAGAATCCCGGCCCAATGGAACAATATAGCGATTATTTGTTACCTGCGTTCTACTCGCCCTTCGCAAGGGACGATGGGAACCAGCGAATTAAATAGTCAGAACAGGGGTTTAAATACCAGAGGCCACTGAATAATGTTCACACTGTTACCAGCAGATATTCAATATTTTGGTTCACCTCACACTGTACTTTAATAATCTGTTTGGTTATAAAGAATAGCAATAAGTTAAATCACTAGAAAATCTAATTCAGCAATTCATTCCCTACCTATCATCATAGTGTAATTTTAAAAAAATGTAAGATAAAATTACTTTTCATAAAAAATCAAAAGGTAAGCAGATTATTTTTGTTTAGGCCTTGAGTTAGAGTTATATGTGTGCCTCTATCTAGGATGTGATTTTAACACAGTGAAGAACATCACATCAGAAAGGTGGTCACATTGTCATGTCACCTAGTCTCAAACATGGACTAAGCATATCGTTAGTACTTGCAAAGCTCAAAATTCCCCTTTAGTGCCTTGATGCCTTACCTGACCTCCCTACCTGGTATCTCTAAATGTTTACTACACAGTTTTAATGAAAAAAGGCATTTTCAAAATGTTTTGCATTGAAAATAGACACTCCCACAATTCCAGGAGACAGGAGTGACAACAGTGACTGTCTACTGAAAAAAAATATTCTACATGAACATTGCTTAGAGAGAACAAATTTTGTTAGGGTCTTTGATTAAATATAACTATAAACTGAATACCTAAAATGTGTATAATGAAAAAGTAGTGAACAATTGCCATAATTTATCAATCAATTCACTTTATGGGACTAAAGTTTGCATGGGTTCATACAGTGGGTGTCTGCCCTCACCCTTTGCCAGTCTGCAATTGCAGATATTTAATTGGCTATAATGTCAATTTCACCTCCAATGGCTACAAGCAATTTCAAACCATTATTATTATGCAATGAAAATGGTCATCACCCACAGAAAGGCAAATATATTACTAAGAAAACATATGGCTTGATAACAATTTGTGAAGGGGTTCAACCAGTTTGAACTTGGCTAAAAAAAACAGAATGTAGCAATTATGGCAAAAACTATTTTATTTTTTCATACCTGAAAATATTTTCTCATTAACATAAGCTGACATTTATCCCAATATTGTTAAAAACAAATTTTGAAATTAACATTTAATGATTATCATTTTCCATTATATTCCATGAGAAATTCTCCCCATAATGCATTGCACATATGCTCAGTAACAAACATATTTGAATTTGGCTCAAACTAGGAATATCAAAAATGTTGATGAAAACAAAATATTTTATAGCTGTGGTACAATGAATTGACATACCGGTAATTATGAACAAAAACTCATAAATTAGAAATTACATTACAAAATTAATAATAATAATGAAACATTATAATAAAGAATTTTTATAAATTTTTAGAAGTCATAGAAAATAGTATATATTTAATAACTTGTCTGTATACTGTATATTACAATGACATTAATATTTTGGAATCCAATAGTGTTGCCAATGATACAGGGAGGAAATAAACAACAGCAGACGATAATGTTGTGTACTTAATATTAATATAATATGAACTATCAAAGTTAATTTATTCAAAATAGTGCGATTGAGGTCAAGGGCAGAGGCAGAGAAGTCGTATTCAGCGCGCGGCCTCTCCGTGAAGCTGAAAAAGAGAGCCGGCGACGTTAAAGTGTTTCTCCCATTAGAGGGTTGTAGTGTATGAAGTCACTGCGAATGAAACACAGTTAGGAAGTAAGCGAAATTGGGTAAAATAATTACCTGCGATGAGGCACACCCTTCAGAAATGTCCGTAGTGACGTCGTCGTTGCTGTGTTCCATACCTCCCCACTGTGTCAGGCTGCAATCCGCTCTCTAAACAAAGCAGACCTCGCCTCCTCTCGTTAAATTCATCAAGTTTGTAGCTTCTGTGTCTCTCTGATAAACTACTCTATCCTTATCTACAGTTGGTCATACATTTTTCCAGGAAATTCCGACGAAAATGTCCCCTTTCACCAACACCGAATTGATTTGCCCTTCCTGCCTCCTCCGCAGTCTAAGCCTCGATCCCATAATTCACTGAGAGGGGAAAGGTCACAGAGAGAATATATTGCGCCATCAACGGCATATTTTTTAAAGTCAGATGTTCGTAGCTTTTACGATGGTAAAGTACTAGTATTTAGGTCTCATGCAAGTCTCATGCCACTAATCAACCAATGGCTGCTCGCCTGGCAAAAACCAATAACAAATTTTAAATATTTTTTTTCTCAGGTGCTCCCTATTTGAGGGTCAAAGGTGAGACCAACTTGTGGTCTTTTGTTTACTACTTAGCGGCTGTGTACCTGTGGGTTTATTCTGTGTGTATTTGGATGTGTTTTAATCTAGGTGTTTTTCCAGTGATTTCTCTAGGTGCAATTCAAATACAGTAAATGTGTCTTGTTTACCTGAGATTTGTAAGAGTTTGAGCTGGCCAACATGTTAGTTTTTTTTCATATGGTTGATTACTGGCATGTTGATTTCCCATTTTTGAGCCATGTTTTCAACTTTGTTCATTATTTTCATATAGCAATCTCGTCATATGTTAACATTGTCGTCTATGGAAATTCAATTAGTGGTATGAGCCCTTTATAATGGTTATGTGAGGAATACAGAAATTATAATGATTGGTACGTAATTGTTTGCGAACTGCTTCAACCATATGGATATATTTTCGAATTAAATTATTTATTTTCACATTTTTCAGACAGTGTTCTCCAAAATTATTTCGTCTTGGTTAAAAAATAACATACTGAAAGTTGATGACCTGTGTTCAAATCAATGATTATGTAACATTTGTAACAACACATGTAAATGATCATAGAATATAAATGAATTTAATATCCTTACAGAAAAAAGTCGGTAGTATGCAAATACCTATGACTGACCAACTTACAAAAGTCTTATTTATAGAGAATAGTGGTCATGACGAATTGAGTAATTGCCTATAACGTAAGTCACATACCACAGCCAAATAATGACCATTCAAAATTAACCAGGAAATTGTTGTCAGAATTGTGTCGTGAAATTTTAAAGCTTTCCAATAGGACAACCCAAACAAGAACGTGGAGAGTTAGGTGGATTTTAGTTCACTGTACGAGGATTTGTATATGTGTTGCTTAAAGCGCGGTAGTCGTCGCGCAGCGCGTGTTCGAATTTCATGTAAATAAACAATGTATTTGACACGCGTTGTATACGTCGCAATGAGTTCCATATCGAGCAGGACGCGGCACGACGACTACCGCCCTTTAAATATGTCACTGTCGTCAGAGCTGCTCACGTGACACAACAACGAATACTCACACAATGATATCGGTCGGTTTTAAAGATATGCTTAAAAGCTAGTTGCGCATTTACAACAGTTGTCCCAAAAAAATGACTGGTCACAGTTTTTTTTTTTTTTTTGCAGTAAAGTACTGCTACGACAGTCGCAGGGGGTAATGTTAATGCTTTCCGCGGAGTGCGCGGGATTTAGGTAAACCCCAATCAGAGAACAGAAAAATACGCACCTGCGCAGTTCTGACGACAGTGTAAATTTAAACAGCTGAACACCAGAGTCGACCTCTGTCACCTTTTATCAAAATTAAACCACAATTAGTTCATTAACCTGCAAATAAATGTAAAATACCCCCCCCCCCCCCAATGTACTCCCGGGCTATATAAAGACATTGACTTTAAAAAAGCATATTTTTTTAGTTTTAGAGAATGGTGGTTATATTTTAGTGGTTAGTGTCCATTTTGGCAGTATAACGTTTCTACCATATGTTCCTATGACATAGAGCAGGCAATATGCTAATATTGAGATAACATATCTCAAATTGTAGGCTTATGACGTAAGGTGAAAAAAATCATATATTGTGAAAGATGTTATTGTTTGTTGTCAATAATTATTTCAAAAATCTGTTTTTAAAAAAGTGTGAATAAAAAGCGATTTTTAAAGAAGAAGAAAATTCACTGTAATACACAAAAGAATGCTATTTCACTGTGCCATGGGACAATAGATTCATAAACCAATGCATTGTGGATATTAGGAATGCGTACGATAGACTGTTCACAAAAGTGTCCTGTACACTAACACTTATAAAAAATGTATATTCGGGTGTTTCAGGATTTAGCATCACATATGTGTATGTTTGCAGAAGTACTTCAAAATAAATGACTTGTTGTCCTATAAATAAACACTTATGAAACTTGTATAGTTTTTGATTGATATATTGGATGTATGATTGTGCTTCAAATTAAAACTTTTTTTTCAGGAAAAGTGTTTAAAACACGTGTTAGAATGCTTCGATGTGATTCGAACCATTACCGCCAAATGCGAAGTATAAAACTCCAAAGAGCCACTAAGTACTACGTCATGTGACTCGATTTATAGTTGTTCTTATTGGTTGATGAGGCCATATGAGGGTAAATACAATTAAATCTTACAAAACCTGGTGTTTGATATGTCACTTGTATGTTTATATGATGAAGTATTTGAAACTATTTCAACGTTTGCAATATTTTTTTATCGCCACAAACTTCATACGTTGTCTAAGCTGATGTCAATAGCCGGATTCAGCTTCAGCGAGTCCATCCTTTTATTACATCAGTCTAACCTGAGCACACGCCATCCATAGCGCATTCTTCAATGGAACGACCCTTGTGACGCGTTTACCTATATCTAAACGCAAATATTTATCATAGAAACTACGATACTGTGCAGTTATAGAAATCACATGGACCATAGTCATTTGCCAGGTCACGAGTAGTTCTAATAAGGTTTGGACAGGGTGGCCAGAAAAGAGGACAGTATAAAAGTCAGTCTCGAGCCGACACAGTACCCTTTCTCTGCGTTAGAAGAGTCGAAACGAAGAGGAAGCAATTATTCTGAGGTGAGTTCTAACATAAGAAATACCTTATCTCTTTTTTTTTACAAAATAGTATTTTAGGGTAGTTGAAAGCTTCCGACATTGAATGTGACTGTTATCTTTTCTGGCTGCTCTGTTTGACATTGAATCTCTGACACATATACCCATCGTACGAATACACTTCTTTTCAGTGATCAAACTAAGATATTTGGCCACGTGATCTAATGACCAATTGGCCCCGGTGGCGCATCGATATCGTCGCCGACCCAGACGTATTCAATGTAAAAAAAAAATCATGTCCACGAAAAAAAAACGTCATGTCATGAACGCTTCCCAATAATTTAACAGCATAATATTGTAGCTTAGTGAGAAGCGGACATATGATCCCCACATACGACAAGAATAAAACAGATTGAAAAGCAACTACCAATGCGATTCCAAATATAAATCCTGTCAATGTATTTTAAAAACAGATTCAACCAAAAAAGTTGAGCCAGTTGCGCCAGTCTGTAATTTCATAACTGATATTATCATAACAGTTTGAAACCCAAACAAACATGCATACATCCCTTAAAAACAGTTCGCCTAAAATTAGTGGGAGGGTATTACTTGTACCTTGTCAGTTTGGAAACACCTTCACAAAATCAAAACTGATTGGAAAATGTTTAGACCAACCGTTGATCGATATGTTGGTTGTTGAAATTACGGGAATCTACAAACCTAGGAGCGTGAGATAAACTGTCATATTATATATATTATATTACGAGAGTATTAAACTATATCAAAACTAATTAAAAAGATTTTCGGATTGTTCCCATTATTGCGATTTTGTGACTTTGAACTGCTGCTGCGATAATCCCGAGTTTATCATATTGATGATCGAATACGTTTTTAAATTGTGGTGCTAGCAACGATCGTCACTGTTATCGAGACGGGCTGTAGACATCGTCATTGCTGCGTAGTACCAATGAACCCTATATACATGTCCTTTGATCTAGCCTTTGATTGTTTTATATTCAAATATTATTTCGCCAAAATTTAAAAAAAAAAAATATCAATGTTTATCTGCCCAGAGATAACAGGACATGTTGAATTTCATTAAAATCTGCACAGAACAACATGGTTCATCGCTTGTGATTCATGACTCGCACAACTAAGAACTGTTATTGAAACTTTATTAACTACTAGTACTTATGGTCTGACCCATATATTTTTTAACAAACCAAACAATAACAATTAAAAGGCGATG